CCCTCTGTCCTTATGACCCCTATTAAGGGGTGCAAAGGTAGTGGCCCAGGCTAAGCAGGGACAGTGGTTGAATTGGGAAAGTGCAGAGAAGAGGAAGCTTAGTTGGAGGGACCTGTGGATTATGTAAGAGAATCGTATTGGATTCCTGGTAGGGGCTATAAACGATGTGTTACCAACCCCCCTAAACTTAAAATTGTGGGTAAATGGGGATCCATCATGCCCATTGTGTTCAGGTACCGCATAAAGCATATTTGTCAGGCTGGTAAGTTAGCTTGTCACAAGGCCAATATACATGGCGACATAACCAGGTGTTGAAAAGTTTAGCTGCAGGCATTGAAGGGAAACGAAGACAGGTAAATTCAGAAGGTTTTAAGAACAGGAGTTTAGCAATTCAGTTTGTACGTGAGGGGGAGAAATACAGAAGGGATAAGCTAGTAAGGAGGCAAGGGTGTGGCTGCCTAGAAGGTGCTTGTGATTGGGAAATGCAAGTATATTTAGGGGGAAAGCTTGTTGTTCCCCAGGAAATAGTTTGTACCAATAAGAGGCCTGACATGGTGTTGTGGTCAGTGAGTCAGTGGATAGTTTATTTCATTGAGCTGACAGTTCCTTGGGAAGACTCAGTGGAAGAAGCCTATGAAAGAAAAAAGCTTAGATATGCAGACTTAGGAGCAGAAGCTGAGCAGCGAAGATGGAAAACTAGGATTTGTCCAGTGGAAGTGGGGTGTAGGGGATTCATAGCAAGATCAGCTGTCTCGCTCCTAGGGGAACTCGGAATACGGGGACAGAGTTTGAGGAAGAAAGTGAAGGAAATGTCAGATGAAGCAGCTTGAGCTAGTCAGTGGATTTGGATGAGGAGGATTAATTTCCATTGGGGGCCAGCAGGGGGAACTACTAAGCAGGGTACATAACTCCTTGAGATCAGATGGAGAGATCCACCAATCAGTCCTCTCAGAAAATCCAGGAAGAGGAGTATGGTGAATGTGCTAGAAGAGGTAGTATCGGCACTGTCTCTACTTGGAGCTCGCATGAACAGAGCATGGGTTTGTTGAAGGTGGCAGTGTTGTTTCGGCTGAGAACGCCATGTGTAAGTAAGGTAAAGGAGGTTGTGAGGTTGGTGTGGGGAGCATTGAGACCTAGCATTAGGGGAGTGCCTCTGGGACACCAGAGATCACTGTTTAGCCTCCTGGAGGTGTCGTGGGACCAACTAGACGAATCACTGGTGAAAGGAGGTTCTCACCCGATGACCCCAAAGACATGTTAGTTATCACTGCTCACTGGTCTGTATTTGCCATAATAGCTTATCATAGGGCTTAGGAGGTTATTCACTGAGTGCTGATCCTTTCTTTAGAGCACAAACTTCTTGTGTTTATTTGAATTGAATTAGTAGATGATCTGCGCTACCTCATGAACCAAAGCTGCCCTCTGTCAGCCTATGACAAAAATTGATGAAAATTTTGAAGCATTTTGTTTATTTAGAATGTGGAACATATTGCTAAGTTGTTTTGGAGCAGCATAGTGTCAAACTTGATACAAAGTTTATCAGAGAAAATAATATTTTCCGAGAAGTAGAACTGATACTCAGACCAAGGGTAAAAACTAAATCTGATGTGTGGCCACAATTATGGATTGGATTTAACACATGCTGGGCTAAATTATGTGATATTTTTGTAACTCAGTTGCAGTTGGCTCTAATTTCTATATGATGTTGAAAAAGTACCCTCATGTTGGTGTTATTTAGCATTACTGAGGCTTGCATGGTAAAATCAAGAAATTTTATTTTAAGAAAAAAAAAAAAAAAAGCCCCTCACAGTTTTTAACAGCCCCCCAAGTAAATTCATCTTAGTGCTTGGCCTGGGTAGAGTCCCCATGGTATGTACTTTGGTTGTAAACTGTTTAATGTATCCATGGAGCCCCAACTTTTATTTTTTGGCCCCATCTCTACCTCTTACCCCCCTACTTCTGATGCCCCTGCTCAGACCACCACACCCATCTTTGATCTCAGCCTTTATTTTGATCTCAGCTGTAAAGTTTCATGACTGCATCCTGCATGGTGGTGACGCTATCGAGTAAACAAAATATGTCCACAGACAGACAAACCAACGAACATCTATCAAAATGCTCAGCACAGTTTCTGTGGTGGTTCTCCGCTAAAATTGGTGTCACCAGGACCACATTTCACCATAATCACACACACACACACACACACACACACACACACGTAGATTGAAGAGGTGAAAACAATATCAGCCATTGCAACATTGTCGCAGCTGGTAATTAAAAAGCTTCACCACTCTCTGCTGGAGCAAGCACAGACAAAGCCCTAACCAGTTGCATTACAAAAACAAACAAACAAACAAAAAACAACAAACATATACAATAAAAGTAAAACCAAACAATATAAAGACAAGTACTGGGGGCATGGACACAGAGACACAACAGTAAGGACAAAATCATGTAGGGACAAAACATGTGGAGGTGTAGAGATGTGTAGAGACAAAAAAGCTGATACACCAGGAAGTGGAGGCTGAGACTATGGAACAGGCCACTACAGTCACACACAGCCTGGTATAGAGGTGCCAAAGAACAGAGACATAGCTCCCCAGCAACAGTGGAAGGGTGAGAGCAGCGAGACCATGGTTTACTCACTCTACAAATGGCAAAGTTTTTACCCTTTTTCTGTTATCACTTTTGGCTACACTGAGTCAAGCCATGCTACACCGATTTGTTCTTCCAATATCAGTTTAGACATGCTGTGCCACGCCGAGCCACACCAGAGATGGACCTTCTCCAGAGTAGGTCCAAAAGCTGGGTAGCAGCCTTTAAGCGAGTACCGAGTAGCAAGTAGCAGAGATGTTTCACCGGCAGCAGCCTAGCCCAGCAACCCCACTTGTGAAACAAGCTGCATATGTTGCGAGATTCTACTCACCTCTATCTGCAGGAGACCAGAAAGAAAGGTGTTTTTTAAAGTCTCTGTGTGTTCAGTAGCTTTTGTAGCTTATAACTTAATCTCTGTGGTTTGGAGTTTAGTTTCTCTCCTGTGTTCTATTTTTACTTTACATATCTGCTTTATTTTACTGTTTCACGTTTGCTGTCAGCCAAATGAGGAGCTGTGTAAAGTTGCTGCTCCGACTGACTCAAGATTCCTCAACATTTCCTTATTTTGCTGCTGCACAATAAAAGCTTTTATGTAACAACATTACAGTGGACTTTTATTGTGAAGAATCATAGGAAATTAAATGTGTTTATCACTTAATTTAGCAAAACTTTGTTAGTGCCTTTTCCTCAATAAAAACCAAGTCTACAAACACTGTAGGAAGGAGGAGTAAAAGCAGCAACAGCCACAGTGAGATGCTTGATGAAATGCTGCAGACCGACAGCTCAACTCCTACAGGTAAATGTCTGCCCTGCTGTGTGATGGAAAACACTTGCAGCAAAATAAGGGGGGACTTAAGCAATGGATCAGCCCGCTATTTTTAAATGTCATCACTCAAGACAAGCCATCATCAGTTAAAGACACACCTTTAAGCATATAGCCCTGTTGGTACGGAACTGTAAAGCTCTGCAGCCAGTGGCGTGTCAAGACGTTTTATTACTGGGGTGGCCCAAGTGGGGCACTGACTTCTGCAGGGGAGACATGCAGTATGAGCGCTGCTGAGGACACACACGTCAGCTTAGCTTTAATTTTGTCTCCACTACCCATAACTACTTTAATAACTAACATTGCAGTGTCTTACATACCTGTTTATAGTTTAGTTTAAAAGATAAATATACCTACCAATCATGACATAACATGGTGTGTCTTGTTGATGTGACACCACATAAATGTAAAATAAAGCTCCTTCAGGAGCCAAAGCAAGTAATGAGAACAGTGTAGCCCAGAATCCCCAGAAACTTGTCAAGCTGACTGCTCACTGCTCTACAAGTAAGCTCTGTTCCACGGCTCTGCTCTAATTCAGAAAAGATCTTCCTCTTGTTCTTCTTCGGTTTTTGATAGCAGTCGGCATCCACAAAGTTGCATTACTCTACTTACTATATAAATAATACTAATACAATAGTGATAAGCCCTTTTCATCTAGTTCTCATTCTCTTATAAATTTTCTATTTGCAGGTTGTTCGAGAGAGCCTGAAAGCTTCTCTCCAAAGCTGCTGTACATCCTCTCCAGAAACACCCACAACATCCATCTGCTGTATCTATGATGATCTTAATTTTCTCAGATTTTCTTTCAATTCCAGCAGTTCAATCAAATAACCATCGCCACAAAGGCTAATAATGTCATTTGGTCTTTAAACAAGCAATATTCCTCATGCTTGCTGGCCAACTTGTCCTCCTTAGCGTCCTGTCTTACATATCTTGCCTTACCTTTTTCCTTACATTTATTTATTACCTCCACCAAGGAGGTTATGTTTTCGCTCGCCGACGTTGGTTTGTTTGTCTGTCTGTTTGTTTGTCTGCAAAATTACTCAAAACGTTCTGAACAGAGTTTGATGAAATTTTCAGGAAAGGTGGATAATGGGACAAGGAACAGATGATAAAATTTTGGTGGTGATCGGTTGAAGCGAAGTGGATAAAATAATAAAATGGCAGGAAATCCGAGCTGCTTGGCGGAGGTCTGTGCTCTAGATTTCTTTGTTATGGTTCTGATTATTTCTGCCTCCCTTACTCTCTCAAAAATATCCATACTCTGCTGAAATATCAATATTATAGAAAGAGGGTTGAAACAGTGTTTGTGCTTCCAGATGAATATGGTTGAGGTCTAATCTATTAATTTCTTCCCCCTCTTCCTCCTCCTGATCTAACAATGTAGGTGAGGTTCTCTACAGAAATGTATCTCTCTATCACCCCATATCAAGCTATTTATTAAGCCACGCCCACATTTAAGCAACCCAATAGCATTTTAAAGATGTGATTCAAATTACCCCTTAACTTTCCCCAAACTGTAACTACAGTTTCACTGCGACTTGAGAGAAAGATGAATACCAGATGTATCTGTCTAACTTACCTCCATTGAGAATCTCAATGGAGTTGACCGTAGCTGAAGATGTAAGAAGGACCTTCCTGCCATAACCAATTGTAACACGATGGTCTTCACTGTGCCCAGGCATCCATGGCTGCAGTCCTGGTTCTTTATCTGGACACACTGCAAAAGACAGAGATGTCACATCAGTGGTGCATTTACTCAAGTGCAGTTTTTAAGATCAGCAATTCTATTTAAGCATTTCCATCTTATGCTATTCTAAACAGCACTTCCATCAACTTAATTTCAGAGAAAAATAATGTAGGCTACCTTTTACCACACAACACAAATTTTCCAGCTAAAGCTGCTAGTTACTTTTGACATTAAGATTTACATAAAAATACATATGGTAATCTTATTAAATATATTGTTCAAGATTAAACTGGCGGTTCCAAATCCTTTTAACTTGTGACTTCATGGACAAAAAAAAAATAAAAAAATAGGTTCATTATCATTAGGTACCCCTGTCATGTTTCAGAAGTTAAACCAAAGAGATATTTCCCCTTTACACTTCTTGAAGTTGTTTCTTTTAAATAACTGTCCAAGGCCCAAACAGGAGAAATTATGCATTAGTTTCCAAAAAGATTGGTGGGAAGCACAAAAAAATGAATACAAATGTGTTTAACAGAACATTGTTCTATCCCACAACTGCTCTGCTGGAATCCATAGGTAATACTCTCCTTCAATCGCATGCATTTGTCCAATGAAATTTGCATAAATGTAGCCAACCAATCAGGACATACCTATCCAAATACATGCAGAACCCACATAACAGTACCACGGCACTGTTCGTCATCCTGTTCTCTTCAGTAATAGTAATTTACCCACTTATCAGTTTAACTTTAACTTTAGACGCCACAGCAGTGGGATCACTTCAGAGCTTTCAACGTGATGCTTTGCTGCCAAGAGAGTGAGGAGGATGTTGTAGATGACAACATCTCATTGGCGTCAGGTACATCAGTGTCCCACTGGGACTTCCTGCTGGTGATGACTGTCTGCAGCAGGCTGTGTTGGGGGGGCCGTGATGGACTTTGTGTGCACATGTGTCTATTTCTCCCTCCTGTTCTCCATGGGAGATGAGAGGATTAAACACAATGACATTCTGTCAACTGCTGGTTTGCTAGTGGTGATGCATCCACGGACCTCAACATGGCACAGAACTTTCCCTGTCCCCGATGATGCATTCATGGAACAACATCTCAGAACTTTCCTTGTCAGCCTTCAATTGGCCAGGCTGCCATTTATGGAAGATCTGGTGGGGACAAGGGCCGAAACAGGATATCACAGTAGCTAGCCGACTCTCCATACAGGAGATGAAAGGAATTAAAGGTACTGTGTGCAATCATGAGTACTGTACTCTAAGTATAGTATGTTGTCAGCAGGTGGCAGATGTTGTTATTGTGGTGGGTCACCACAAATAAATTAACATGCGGGAAACCCTGCCACAACATTCAGCTAACAGCCACTCAACACATCCACTGCACCTTCTGTCCAATGCCTCACCAGCACCTGACCACCTCCAAGCAGGTAACAGTGATGTCTTGCTGACCAACCTGATTACTCCTTTTTTTCCCCTCAAACAAACATTTATTAAAGCTATAGTTGGTAATGTTGGAGAGCTAGCAAGATTTGAATGCAGCACCTCCTCTAAGCTCCGCCCTCTGCTCCCCCTCCCGTCAGTGCTCCGTCCACAGCCACGAGCCCAGACATGCCTGAACGCGCATCCTGCAGTCAGCAGAGCAGAGGAGAGCCAAGTAAAATAACAAATCCCCCCAAAGCAAACAAATAATTACCTGTCCAACAGAAAGACAGCAACCTCTGCATCACTTTTCAGGCCCTTCAGCTCCCTCAGTTGTCTCCACTGTTCAAAAGCTGGACTGCTGTTGATGTCTGGTTTGTCCTCTCACTTTATCCAAAGCCTTTTCTGCCTCTAACTTTCTTTTCTCAGCCTGTTTAGTGGGGTGAGCCATTACAAGTAACACTGGAAGTGTTGCTTTTGGTTGCATTTTCTCTGCCATTGTGCAGCAAACTCCTGCTTACTCAGTATTTCTGCTGAGGAGTGTGCTGAATATTTCTGGCAACGGTGACACGTGATGAGCGCGCGCAGGGAGGAGGGAGGGAGGGACGGAGGGGGGCTCAGGCAATACGAGACATGAAGACATCTGATTGGTTCTTTCCATTCGCACCGAATGGCAGGGATTGGTCTGAGTTTTTACAGGCCTGCAGCTGCCACAGAGGTCTGATTTTTTTTATTCCTTTTTCTGAATACATGTATTGACTACTCTCAGGATGGAAGGACCATTTTACCCAGTATAACAAAAAGTGTTTCTGAACAGGATTACCAACTATAACTTTAAGACACTTAACTCCTTTCTGTGAGGGAGACAAGCAATATGTAGCTTCAAACTGAATCTCTTGTTGTTTGGACTTTAATTCTCTCCTGCATCTGTTTGTACGTTAAGATATTGACTTTACTTCACTGTTTTAAGTTACTGCTGATGAATATTCAACATATTTTCATTATGCTGCTTCACAATAAATGGCAATGGCAGGCTTTCATTGTGAATAATTTATCGAGAATGAAACATTAATAAATTACTTTATAGAAAATGAAATGTGTTTATCACCAAAGTAGTTGTACTTTGTTAGCAACTATTCTTTAAAAAATACAAGTCTACTTATGCTGCAAGGAGGAAAAGTACAAGCAGGAACAGCCACAGTTTCTGCTGGATTCAGGGACAAGGAGAAAGATTAACTGGGTGTGGACATACCCAGATATTCATATTTGTATATATTATACACAGACCATCCTGTCTCCTTTTATTGGAAGCAACAAATTACGTAGTACAAGTCTCTACCATGCAAAGTGAAAGCCATATATCAACAACATCCAGAAGAACCACTGACTTCTCTGGACCTGGGCTCATGGACTGACACAAATAGGAAAAGTGTGCTCTGGTGTGATGAGTCCACATTTCAAATTGTTTACAGAAATCAATCTAGATTGTTACCAGCTCAAAGTTTAAAGCCAGCATCTATGATAGTATGGGGGATGTATTAGTCCCTATGGCATCATGGGTAACTTCACATCTGTGAAGGCACCATGAATGCTGAAAGATACATACAGCTTTTGGAGCAAGAAACGCTGCCATCCAGACAACATCTTTTTCAGGGACGTCCCTGCTTATTCCAGCAAGACGATGAGAGACATTCTGCATGTGGTCCAAAAGCGTGACTTCATAGTAAAAGAGTGCAGGTGCTAGACTAACCTGCTTGAAGTCTAGATCCGACTCCTATATTGAACTTGGGTGTCATGTTATGAAGTGCAAAGTACGATAATGGATACTTTGGGCTGATGAACAACTGAAGTTAAATTTCAAGCAAGAATGGAAAAGAATTTCAGTCTCAAAACTTCAACAAGTGTCCTCAGTTCCCAAACACCTACACAGTGTGATTAAAAGAAAAGGTAATACAGTGCAGTGGTAAACATGCACCTGTCTCAAATTTTTTGGAACTTATTGCAGGCATCAAATTTAGAATGAGGGTTTATTTACAAAACAATAAAGTTTATCAGTTTGAACATTTAATATCTTGTCTTTGTTCTGCATTCCATTGAATATCTGTCGAAAAAGATTTACAGATCATTGCATTCTTTTTTTAGTTACGTTTACAGTGTTCCAGCTTTACTGGAATTGAGGTTATAGCAGTTTAATTCTCTTCGACTGCAGCTATGTATAAACAGGTAGGTCAGTTGAACTCTTTTTGAAGCTGTTGAAAGGTAATGTGGAAAATGCTTCAAACTCATGAGGCAGAAATAAATGGAACAAAATCTGTAAATTACTGTAAGATCAGCAGCATTGATGCCTTGGGTTTGTCAGAGTTCCTTGCTAAGCTGATTATTCATTCCTTGTCTACTCTATAACTTCCTCACCTCCCCTATTATCTAAATGGGGATAAAATAGCACAAAAGGTTATTGGATTTTGTCCCCAAGAGAAAGAGTAACTGATGAACCCATTTACTTTATGTCTGTTGTTGTCAGCATAGTTAGCATCAAGACACTATGTGTAACTGTCCAGTCTTCCCAATAGAGTTTAATCTGGTACTCTCTGGTGTTAGTGGTGATCATCTCATCTGCCCGCCACCAAATGGATCCATCAATTGCATTGACCAGAGACCTGAATTGTCAAATAGATTTCCCAGAGGGCTAACATAAATTTATAGGTGGTCAATCAGCTGATTTCTTCTGTCTGTGAGTGATGGCTGTTTGGCTTTGGACGGCTCACAGTGTCATTGGATGTGTTGCCCATGGACATATAATAAGAAATGGATACAGCATCAGAGGTTGGGCCCCTCTTAGTCCTTTCAAAATTGCTTGGTGGCGCATGAGACAAAAAAGTTCTACTTCCCTGTTATAAAATTACCGGAAAATATTCACAACGGTTTGGTGCTACTAGACCAGACCAGTGTATCGAATTTTATTCACTTATCACTTATCAGATATCAACATCCGTGATCAACAACATAGACGCATTTATTTTTATCACAAAACAAATAATCATGGTGGATTTACTGAACAGAGTTCCCGAAAAAACGCTGCACTTAACAGCTTATTGTAATTTCTCCCCATTATGTTCCGTTGTGTGTGTTTAGAGTTGTTAAAACAACATATTAATGCAACTGCTATGTTTCCTGCCTTTTTTGGATAAGCGGGGAACATAGAACCTTTTTTTTAGTAAGAGAGAAACATAGAACCTTTTTTGTAAGGTTAAATGGGGAACATAGAACCCGGGGAACATAGAACCTGGGGAATATAGGGATGACCCCGTTCTGGATAGGTCTGAGCCCTTCAGTCAGATCATCTCCAAGAGTGGCTATAGATATAGATTCAGTCGTGGAGCGACCATCAGCTGCCCTGTACATGGATGACATCAAGCTATACGCCAGGAGAGAACAAGACATTAAGTCCCTGTTTTACCTTACCAGGATCTACAGACAGGACATCAGGATGTCATTTGGACTGAATAAGTGTGGCTGCATGGGGCTTAAGAGAGGAAAAGTGATCAGAAATGAGAATAGGTAAACATGTATGAGACACAAGATATATATATTTATTTATTTATAT